ACAGCCCCATGGGGCTGTTAAGTGTGACGTCACGGCCCCTTCGATACGCATAGCAACGGAGAGCACTGGGGACAAACAAAAGTCTCGTCCTCTGGATGGAACCAGTTGTCAAGGGCAACAGCATCTAAATGACTGGAGAGAGAACAGTTTTTCTTTGCTTTTTCTTCAAGCGATTGTTGTCGCTCTTTACTCCTTGTTCTTTCCTCTACAAATCTCCTGTAGTCGTCGAGGGCCTTCATAATGGCTGTGAAATTGGCTGCCCACTGTAAAACTCCGTGTTTGAGAGTGCTTTGAAGATTCTTCGCGTCCTGATGGATCAAAGTACGAGCGCTCCCTTGTGGATTCGATTATATGTAGGTGAGTTGTTCAAGAAATCAGTCTTCTTTCTGTCTCTGCCCTCACGCTGGCACAAAATCAGCCTCTATATCCATGACAGCTCGCACCTCCCGTAAACTGCATGACTTAGATATATTCTCGCCCTCCGTGGTGATTGAAGACCCATGGAAGAAGTTATTATGTTCAGAATGATGTCCTGATATTATAAAATAAAATAATTCCATAGTCCATTTCAAAACTATAGGCGCGTACCTAGGCAAAAACCGTTATGCCAGCATCTATACCACATAAAATCTGTGATCACTTTGTGCATAAATTTTTCCAAATTGGGCGTCTGTTATCCAATCGTTTAGAAACTATTATTATGAGAGTAATTGTGGAGCGGTCCTGAGCAATATTCCGAAAACTATTCTCAAAAAGTTCCAGCCAAATTTGAAATATTTCAAAAACCCTACGCGTCTATAGTTTTGAAATGGACTGTAGGGAATTGGTACAGGGTATTTTGGAAGGATGGAGAGAGAGAGAGAGAGAGAGAGAGAGAGAGAGAGAGAGAGAGAGAGAGAGCACTTTTGAAGTGTTTGTCTCACTGTAATTACTCCAGATTATTGAATGGTGTAAGATCTACTCGATATTTCCACAATGGTTTTTCCTGATTTGCGGGATCTCTTCTTTTGCTGTTTGCGTGTTTACAGGAAGTGACTGTCTGGTGTATCTGCACCAGATCCTGGGGAAATGAAGTCAGATACAGAGGCAGGGTCGTCCAGTGACGCAACACTGCCGTTCTATGTGCAACGTCACCGCTAATTCCCCGGCGAAAACACAAAAAGACAAACACGTCAAGAGACTACAGAATTGACCGTTCTGGTAATGAATCGTGACTGCTCGGGCAGTCGATAATCGAAACACAGAGCACCAGCATGATGTTTTCATATTGGGAACCACACACCAGCTCAATTCTCAAGCCCAAAAATTTATGAATACAAAACACAGAGCGACGCAACAAGAGATCATCCGGCAACCAAATCAACCTGGGTCTAATGCACTGATAGTCCTGAAATACACAGGCCACACAAAGCAGTGCAAGCACATACTGTTACAAGGTACATGCATTGCAGAACAAAGTGTAACCAAAGATACACAGGGTTATAGCTACACACTCGTGCATGTGCTCGCTCAGCCCAAGAACACGCATGATGATAGAAATAATCCGGGGGAAACACGCTAGCACCGAAGTAAGCATCGACGTAAATAGTTCAGCTCTGAAAAAGTAAAAATTACATTGACATGTACATTGGTGTGCCGAGTAGTATCATCCTTGATTACCCATCCAACCAAGACGTTATCAGGTCCCACACGCCGAGATCGCACGCCGAATGTGAAGTGCATCTAGCCTTGAACCTGTTGCACAAGGCACACACATATGACAAAAATGACATCCACTCCGATTATTTCCAGAGGCCAATCATAACAGAACACAGAAATGAAACCACGGGCTCGACAAAGTAAACGCAAAGGAAATTAGTTAAAATAATCCATGAAGTGCTATTTTAATTTCAGCGCTGACTGCAGTGTGGTGTCATGGCCCGATACCCGCTGAGCATAGACAAAACTCCATTTGGCAGGGGCAAGACATACTATTTTGGAATAAAGTCATAAAGTACAGCATTCCAATGACATGACGGACACCTCGTGCAAATGCGTGGTCTGTTCATCCGGCCAACTCGGCCACGCACGAGAGTGTGTGCATGTACGTGCGCACGCAAGTGCGCGCGTGCACACACACCATGTATTCGGTGCGTATGGCGTACCTGTTGCGAAGATATGACGATGGAATCATTATCATGATGTTGCATGTACATGTACAGTGTATGTTTTGAGTGTAAAGTAAATTTTATTTTATTACACATTTCTTCGACACAACTTACTCCACATCTTCGCATTTCTCATAATCCATCCACCTACACTCCGTCTCAGTTGAGGCCCGGAAAAACTCTTCCAGGTATACACTAGTCACCACAGCCATGTGATGACATTGGGATGGGTCCCAAGCACGATTGCACTCTCCAGTTACAATATAATTTATTTGTCCAGATTATCTGTGAAGACAAAATGCAATGCATAGCGGCAATCGATGGATGAAGAGAGAGTTTGTAAATACACATATCTTTCCACTTGTTCAGGAGCTAACCTTTTGGAGTTCACATCGTTTACACGATCTCTCATGCTGTCTTGCACCTTGGCTTTGTTGACCATCGATACCCCATCCCAGAAAACATTCTACAGGAGCTACTAATGCAGAGCGTTTTTCATGCTCGATCTCGGCGATCTACCTCGTCACGCCAATAAAATCGTCCGTGACACTGGCTACAGTCACAAGAGACGTCTCAGTAAGGTAATGAGCACGACAACACCGTCGAGATCACGGACAAAGAGAAAACAAAACACTCACTGAAAACAGCAAAGAAGAAACGAAGAAATGTACACGATTCCTATATGTTGCCAGTGACAACTGGTTCGGTGGAGACGACGCTACTTTTGTTTGTCCCCAGTGGGATCGTTGCTATGCGTATCGAAGGAACTGTGACGTCATCACTTAACAGCCCCATTGGGTCACGTGTCAACAAAGTGTCAACAACGTGTCGACCACGTGTCTTTAGCGGTACACTAATTTTGGTGTCCCCAAACTGAAAACATCGAGCACCAGTATGGAAAGGCTTTAGACAGAAAGCCTTTCCAATTACCAGCTCTAGTCCGTGGGTATAGTCCTTTTGCGCGTTAGACGATGACATCATCGCGTAACGGTCATTTTCAAACCTAATGGGTGTCCTTGACATGACTCGAGTTGGAGAAGAAGCTGAAGTGGTTTGATTTTGTTTGATAGGTTGGTCGTATTTTGACGGCTTGCTGTAGTTCTGCGTGGATCTGTATCCTGTACAAGCCTGTCGACAGTATGCCTCATCACTGCTGTGTCCCGCAGTGTGTTTCCAACAGCGGAAAACCTGGAGACGACGCAGTCGCATTCCACAGTTTTCCTGAAGACAAAGACCTGAGAAAGCGTTGGATCGCCAACATTCATAGGGATGTAGGAGCCGCTTTCACCATCACGAAGCACACGAAAGTGTGTTCTCGGCACTTCGCGGATGAGGTATATCACGCAGGAGCACACAAGCGACCGTCCGAGCAGAAGAAGTAACAACAGACTCGCCGAAGGCTTCTGCCAACTGCCGTACCTATGATTTTCCATTTTCGCCCTGAACTTGGCTGAAGTGACTAAGCGCAAGCCACCAGCAGAAAGACACGCGCTGCCCTCGGCAAAGAAGGCAAAGCCATCAGCTCAAGGCGCCTCCAGTGTCATCACCCAGTTTGCAACTGCCACTGATGTTGTCCCTTCTTCAGATGACTCCCCAGACGTATATGTAGTACCAGTTGAACACCAGCACTGTGAATGTGTTGAAATGCTGAGAGCAGAAGTGGATTTGCTCAAGAGTGAGAACGAGGTCCTCAAAAGTCGTTGCTTGGCCACAGAGGACATGGAAGCCAAGTTAAATGATGCAGAGAGACATGTGTTCTCTATCCACAGAGTAAAAAATAACCAGAAATTATTGTCTTTCTACACTGGATTTTCATCGTTCCTTATGTTCATGGCGTGCTTCAACTTTCTGCACGATTCCGCCAAGGTGGTGCGGACGTGGATGGGTTCCCGGACGGCACCTGATGACGCGATGCAACACGGCAGCAAATCAGGCAGTAAACCGAAGCTAGAGCTGATGGAGCAGTTCTTTCTCGTCCGTCTTCGTCTTGGACTGAAAGAAGTTGACCTTGCCGACAGGTTTAAAGTCCACCCATCCACTGTCTCGCGCACTGTCACAACCTGGGTAAATTTAATGTACCATAAGTTTCGTCAACTTCCATCTTGTCTTTCAAGGAGAAGAATAGACAAATTGATGCCACCTGCATTCAAGCAGTGGTATGCAACAACTTGCGTTGTGATTGACTGCACAGAGTTTTTCATTAACATCCCATCATCGCTGGCGCGGCAGAGTGCTACGTGGTCGGCGTACAAGAACCACAACACGGTAAAATGCCTTATCGGCATTGCACCGCATGGCCATGTGACATTTGTTTCGAAAGTATTCGAAGGATCTGTGTCGGATCGTGCCATCACAGAACAGAGCGGCCTAATCAGTTTATTAGAGCATGGCGATTCCATTATGGCAGACAAAGGTTTTGACATACAAGATCTTGTTAGCCATGGGGTCCGCCTGAACATCCCCCCATTTCGCCAAGGAGGACGCCAAATGACCCCTCAAGATCTTGCAAGTACAAAGAAAATTGCTGCTGTACGGATTCATGTAGAAAGGAAAATGCAGAGGATCAAGTGCTTTGAGATCGTTGGCAAGGAAGTTGATAATACTATGTTTGACATTCTAGACCAGCTTATTTACGTGTGCGCAATGTTGACTAATTTCCAGGGCTCGTTGGTGGCATAAAAACTTCATCCGGACACTATTATCACAACTTGTTTGCATAATAGTACAGCTTATGGCTGATACATGTATATACATTTGAACTTATTGACGAACGTTTACTCTGTCGTGCCGGTACTTGCTACGATGGGTACTTCTGTATATATGTACTAAAAATACAATTCTCACAAGGCAATGACACAAGCAAGTCTTTCTTTTTCGATACTCAGAACTTCGTGATTGAAAATAACACTCATCAGACAGTTGTATTACTATACACAGCTGCAGCTGAGCTTGGGAATTTTAGCCAAGCATTTACTAGTACTAAAAAAATACATGCAGATAATTCGGTGGAGTCACACTATCGTGATAACATTTCATGAAAAGACAGATACGGAGTGATGTATTATTATGATATACAGTATATGAACAGCGCAGACACAGCAGCATGGCCATTGTTTGTCCGGATATATGTGTGCGGATGCATTTTGTGGTGGTGTGTTAGTGCGGATATATGGCATCATCGTGGGCTGCAACCAGGTCATCACGAAACTTTGTCAACTCTGAAGGCTTGACGAGACGCTTGTTCGGTGAGATGGGGTTATACACGGGTTAACGCTTTTCAGACTGACGCTGGGAGCCAAATGCAGCCTTTGTCAGCCTGACGTTGACAATTGGCTGAGCAACAACGTTCCTAGGCCTGGGTCAGTTCCACCAGCAAAGCCGGGACGTTGGGGAATCGTCAACTTCCTCACGTAGCCCAATGCGCACATACTCCTCAAGTGCATAGAGCAAGGCTGCAATAAGTTATGGTTGCACACACCACCCAAGCCAGCAGTACATGTGCATAGTGCAAGGTTCACCATGCCATCTGGACGCAGGCACAGCTTACACTTGTAAATCGCATCTTTTCTCATAGATGGCAGCACGTTACATCGAACAAATGAAAAATTCTCTTGAGTCACAAGTTCAATCTTCTGAACATGGCCATCCTTGAAGAACTTGTAGCCCTTATCTACACCTTTGAACGATGAGAACACGTCACTGTGACTGCCGCTTCCGCGAGACGATGACTCGGCATCAACTGGAGACGTTGATACAGCAACGTCCATGGACTGCCTGGCTGCTACCAGTACAGACTTCTCGATAAAGTGGTTGTACAACGAGGCAAAGCTGACTGTTGGGAGCTGTTTCAAGCTGCACTGCCAACCCGACTCTGGAAAGGTAACAGAACTATCAAGATTTACGGCTGGTATCTTGCCTGAGTCTCCATCCTGCTCAAGTCGGCGCCGCTTGCGCTCCATATTGGAACCATTGTCTGGATCGATAATTTTCTTGTCCAATCCTTCCTTGACATAGTCTTCAACCCTGTTACACCAAGAGAGACATGAAGAAAAGAGAAATGCAATTCGTAGTAAGTCTTAGGGCTGAGTTGCTCGATTAATAACAGCAAACGAAAGGTCGCCGGGAAACAAAATTATTATCCTGATTATTATACTAATGCTCAATTTCTCTGACAAGTTGCTTCATAATCATCTCATGCCGTCCAATAAAACTGCCTTAGTACGAAATATGACAAAGCTTCTCCACAATTCTCCACAGTGACAAGTAAAATAAATAACTGCTGTACCCTGCAGAGCACCAGAGTCGAACATCGTCGATGGCTTTCTCAAATTTTGTATTACGAACAGCCAATAATAATCAATATTCACAAGGAATATCCATGGATCGAAGGGCTACGATATGTATTTCGAAATAAATCTCACGAAATGTCAGCACATGTATCAGAAACTCGCCTTTTCACAAGCTCCGCATGCTTTCCACGACGAGACGCACCACGGCACGCCAGCCACCTTTTCAACTCTGGTACGTGCAGATCCCTTGGCTTACGACCACTCAGAGAAGCACCGGGAACGTCTGCTTCGACTAAAGAGTACAGGTCCTCCATTCTTCCACCGACGACACTCGACTGGTTCAAGAAGTACAATTGTGTCTTTGGACAGCCATCGGTGCTCCAAATCAGTCAAAAATCGCGACTTCCACGGCTCCAGCTCATAGCCTACACAGCTTCGCCACTAATAAAGGACAACAGAGGTGTCGAAATCTACAAAACAAGGCTTCGCCAAGAGCCAAAGAACCAAATAGCCATAAAATATTCTGCAAAACCATCTAAAGTAATACAATCGCCTAATGGCCAAGATTCCTCGACACCCATTAGGTTCAAATTTTTCCGTTACGCGTGCCCAATGACGTAATGCGCAAAAGGACTATTGTGGATGCGGGGGAGCGTTGTTTGCGTGTAGATCTACATCACTGCATGTATGAAAGTAACTGTGGATCCGATGTAATGTTCCTCGCCATACCGCAGCTCTCTTCAGTCAGGAGGACATTTTCAACGCTTCACCCGACCAGCACTAACTCTAGCAAGTCATAAGTGCTAGATATCTTATAGTTATAAGTCATGAACATGACAATCATGATTGTATCATTGATACCGAACGCAAATATTCTCCCAGTACAAATTTCTCATTCATTCGATTGAAAATATGCAGCTCATGGGTGTTCCGCAATTCGCCCGCCGGCCCTAAAGCAGGCAACGCGTGGATTCAAGATGAAAACCTCGTCCTTGTAAGTAAGTTGTACAATGTAGACCTTTCGCACTTTCATGTACAGTATTATTACTGTCTATGCACAGTTGCGTTAGCGACCGCGATAAATGGTAAGCTGTGCTTGGTGAAATTCTAGCCTGGTAGTTCTTCGGCGCCCGACAGCCCGCCAGGCCAGGCACCAACCCATACTATGCCCTACCCGACCAAGCATTTATTTTGGCACAAACGCACACGATGCTCTTCCTTCATTCCACACATAATACAGCTTTTATTTCAACAAACGTAGGACTACTACTACTACGTTTTTAAATATGTTCAATTTTTACTACTACTCATCTTGCTTGATATTTCGAAAAGCACACCAAAACCACCCCATACAATCGCGAGCAGTAGCACTGCACTGTATTGCACAATGTAGAAGACCAGCAGTATGTTGCTTGCAAGATGCTTGACTGTGTCGTTCGGAAAATCAAATCGTAGTGCTGTCAAAGTATTAATCAGATCATACCAATGGAATAGATCTACGGAAAATGTCGATAATGAAACAGATGCCAGAATGCATATCAGATCTACAGAGTGTCTATGATGAAACACACATACAATACAATCATGTGAATGAATGCGCATCAGCAAATGTCATGGTTATCTCCAGTACTAGTACAGTGTGTTGCTATTGATATGCATGTGTAGCACCACCAACATAGTCTAGGACGTTGCAACTCAATTCCAACGCTTTTTGTACTCCTCTCCCGGTTGGAGCCCCAAAGGCGTAAACGTAGAGATCAATACAGTGGTGGTGTTGTAGTGTCTTAGCTAAACAATGGTGATGATGGTGATGGTGGTGTAGGTGGTGGTGGTGGTGATGGTGGTAGTGGTGGTGATGCTGGTGGTAGTGGTGGTGGTTATGGTGGTGGTGGTGGTGTTGTAGTGTCTTAGACCACGGTGCTGGTGGTGGTAGTGGTGATGGTGTGGGTGGTGGTGGAGCTGGTAGTGGTGGTGATGGTGGTGGTGGTGGTGTGGGTGGTGATGATGGTGGTGATGCTGGTGGTGGTGGTGATGGTGATGGTGGTGCTGGTGGTGGTGGCGATGCTGGTGGTGCTGGTGCTGGTGATGTTGCTGATGGCGGCGGTGGTGCTAGTGATGATTACTCCCGGCGCCGCAATCGAGTCGAATAGACGAATACAATGCTATTGATGCGCACAGCCAAGCGCTGATACTGTACTAATAATATTATGTTTTAAAGGATGCAAACATACACTGCTATGGGAATCAAGCAAAGACCGGTGGATGAAAGAGAAATCTAGAGGCAAAGCGCAAAGTGGAGAAACGGGTAGAGGAAGATCGGTGTCAAACATCACAAAGAAGCCTGGAGAAGCAGCTAACGTGTTGTGAGAATGAAGCTCATAGCTATGTATTGTGGGAATGCAGCTAACAGCTACTTATTGTGGGAATGAAGTTTATTTCAGTAGGGGTGGCAGCGACAGTCAAGCACTGCTCCGGCGTATCTTCACCTCAGAGAAGGTGAATTTGGGTGAGCGGCTTGCGTAAAAGCGGCGCACAGACCGGGAGACCACGCGCAGCGATTTCGGAATTGAAGACGACTGACCATCGGGGTAAACCCCGTTCGCGTTTCCGGTGTATCGATCCGCGCAGCTTCTCATCCACCAGCCCCCGCAGTCTGGATGGACGGTAAAACCGGCCGACGCCGCTCCGGTGAAGCGCAGGAACATGTTCTTTGCCAGGGTACCCAAAGAGGCAGTGTGTCGACTGGCACTGAGACTATACCGGTCGGCCTCGCTCGCCACACGCACACGGTCAAACTCTATGAACATGTGCTCTTCTGGCAAGTCAATGTGAACGGCGTCAATGCGCATTTCAAAAAATGATCCAGGCCTACTGTTTGTTATCAAGTGCAGGTTGTGATTGCCGATCCAGAACTCGCCGGTCACTGACCCAAAGCCATGCTTATACTCTTGCCAGGTGCGATTGTGGAAATGTACTTGCCCGTTGCTGCGCCGCTGGACCACCATCCAACCGCCGCCATCCACGGTCATGTTGCACGACGCTAGGATCTGCTTCCCTGGCGTGACTTGGTAGATGAATGGCCCCGACGATCGCATGGCGTTGTCCTGTCCACGCCGAACGCATTCTACGGAGGGCGTGCGCGCGCACGCACACACACACACACGGGAATCGACACAGACATGCATGCATGTACACATATGCTTTGGTCGCGATGTTTGTGATGTGAGTGCGCATTGTTCATCGCTATATCAACAGATTATTATCTCAATGCCATCTATTTACAAACACGTGCTTTTGAGTTTCTGTAGAACTGGACCTCCCATATTTGGACGCCTCCCGCAGCCAGGCAATGTTCAGGCAGGCATCTACAGACATATCTTTAATTAAAACGTTCTCCATTCCACAGCAGTCAGCTGACGTCATAGAAACCGCTTTGTCACGGGTCAGAGCAACCCTGCCCGGGGGGTCATTTTATACTCGTTGGGAGTATCATGAAGCAGTCAGTAACTTGAAACTCGGGTATTGAGCCAATAATAAAAGTAGAAAGGAAAAGGACATATGGAAACGAGTTAAGAGTAACTCTCCACCACTGTAACTAGATACTATATACAGTCAGAAAGTGCAACAACTAGGCACAAAGTCAGTAACTGTTGTTTGTTTCAGGATTCCTTGTGCTAGGTCATGTGTTATTATGCAGGGGCGTCGGAAGGTATTTTAGTGTAGTACGGTCAGCCATCTGAAGTACCGTATTTTTCGGATATAGTGCGCACCTTTGTATAACGCGCACTCCCAATCTTCATTGGGGGTGCGCACTTCAATCTGCATTGAAGTACATGCATTTCATATTCGGAGCATAGTGCGCACCTGCGATTTAGGGCCTAAAATAGCACATCTAAAGTGCGCACTATACTCCTGAAAATACGGTACAATTTACGCGTTGGACAGGGTGACTGAGCCGAAAATTTCGGAAATTTAGAGCCCAGATCAGTGTATTACAATTACTGATTCACGGGGTGACTGGGGCGAAAAGTGGTACGGTCAAAACCGTAGAGACCAATCCGTGTCCAACGCCCCTGTTATGATTTCAACACTCGTTTGGACAGCCTGGGACCTTTCTGTGTTAATTGGACACTCCTATGAAGGATAACCTAGATAAGAATAACATCTTGATTCTTGAACTAACCTTTCCATGGCTGTGAGCGTCTCTGTAGAAGGTTGAAGAGTCTTTGATCAGCCGATGATCCGGGAGGGATGCCGTCTCGACCGTTCTCTGGCTCTTGCGGTGTGGGCTGATTCTCATCTTGGTCGGACTGTTGCTGTTGCTGCTCTTCTTCTTGTCCACTCTGACCAGTACCAATCTGCCGCAGACACATCAGATACGTCAGACACATCAGACAAGCCAAATGCTCAGACGGGGAAGACAAATGTAGACTTATTGTGTATGCATATGGCATATGCACATGCACACCATTACATACACATGCATACTGACTGACAGACAGACAGACAGACGGACAGACCGATAGACAGACAGAAAAACGTGCATTGACACAAAGAAAAACGAGGATACACACGCATACACATGCATACCGACAGACAGACAGACAGACAGAAAAACGTGCATTGGCACAAAGAAAAACGAGGAATCAAACCAAATGGGGGGGGGGGGTAAAACATACAATCATACGGACAAAATACAGCCACCAGCAAAGATAGCCATTCCCAATCAGGTCTCATTCAGAGAACTACAGGCCCAGGGCAACTGGTATGGCGGACACAGCCATGATGTACAGTTTTTATCAAATCCTCTTGCCCCATGAGGACCTGAAATTGTCGCCGCAACCAGGTGAGGCACATCAATGCAACATTGTAAAAATGGAACTAAAAATACTCTAGAGAGAGAGGGAGACAGAGAAATACCGCTCATTTGTGTGAGTTTGCAAATGATTGCAAACCTGATGATGGCAAATTTCCAAGATGTGCACTTTGTGGTGAAAAGTTGGTTGATTGCATTGTAAATCGGAAAAGAGTGGGTCTGCTCGAACCAATAAGCGGCTTAGCCTGAGCAAGATTCTTACTTTCCTATTTATCTCCGCTGTCAGAGTGCTCTTCAGTCGGGCAAGCTTGCTGTTGATCTGTCCTTGCAGCCTTGACAAGGCGCTGGCCTGGTTACGCTCAATGATAGCGATGCGTCCATTGAACAACGACACGAACCTGGCCTCCATCCTGCGTAGGAACGTGTTGATACTGTTCATTTGGCTGCTGCTGCTGCTGATGCTGGGGCTGGTGTGCTCAACACTGTTGTTGTTGTTGTTGTTGTTGTTGTTGTTGTTGTTGTTGTTGTTGTTGTTGTTGTTGTTTCTCTGACGCGCTAGTTCAAAGGCCAGCTTCCGGACCCTGCCGACCATGGCGGAATAGTCTTCCGGTTTGAGCCACTCTGGAGATGGATATCAGAATCAGAAATCTAGTTTATGCCAATCAGCAGGTTTGCGTAGTGGAACGGCAGGCGCATAGCTCGTGACATGTGAAATCAGCGTAGTCCGGTCATCGCACCAGCAAGTGGCCGTCATATTACACAACATGGTCAAAAATAAGCAAAATCTCGACTATGAGGTTGCCAGTGGTACATGGTCACCACACCACAGATGTGCTCTGGGACATGGCCACCACCACATCACAGATGTGCTCTGGGACATGGCCACCACCACATCACAGATGTGCTCTGGTACATGGCCACCACCACATCACAGATGTGCTTTAGCACATGGTCACCACACCAGGAGATGTAATCTGGTACATGGTCACCACACTACAGATGTGCTCTGGTACATGGCCACCACCACATCACAGATGTGCTCTGGTACATGGCCACCACCACATCACAGATGTGCTTTAGCACATGGTCACCACACCAGGAGATGTAATCTGGCACATGGCCACCACCACATCACAGATGTGTGAGCTACACCCCTGAATGGTCTCAGGCCATGACCGCCAAGCAATGTGCACCAGAAGTAAAATCCCGGATGTCTGGCAGCGGGTGAATTTTCCAGACGTGTTGCTACCCACAGTATGAATAAACTGGGGGCTTGCAGCCTGTCATGATGAGGTTAACATGGATGCAGCAATTGGGATTGTCGGCCTTGGACCACTTTGTTGTGGATCTCATCTACCCCCCCCCCTACATTCGCACCTTGATCCTCGAGGGTAGCGGGGTTCTAATGGAAGCAGAAACTTCAAGTTGGCTGGATCTGTATACTAGCGCCATACCCATGTTGCGGCTTAGGTCACCTCAGCACTACAAACTACATATTTTTAATTAGCCCCTGGCATTGAAGTTGACCTATTCTGAAACTTTAGGACACTTTATAGCCCCCAAAAAGAATTCAATATGAGCACTGTATGTATAACATATTGTACTATCCAAAGTTGAAACATAATAAGGGACAAATGTAATGCCCTCCTCGCTGCACGCTTTCTCCAATATTCACTAGGTTTCAGGACCATTTCACGTTGAGGACGAACCCTGGCGAATCATTTGGTGAGTATTGAAGAAGTGTGCTGGACCAAAAAATACCACTGGATGCAGTTGTTGAGGTGCTGTTATGGGTGTAAATAAGAAAACATTCTGTATTTAAAAGTTATTAAAACGCCCCAATAACATTGTTGTGAAAAGGGCAAAGTTCGTGTGAAAGTCTTCCTATGCATTGTGGTTTTACTCACGGCTCTCGCAGTTGGGTCCATTGAAAAACGTCCGGCATTCACAGCTGTACGTTGTGCCATCTCCTTCGTGACACGTAGCACCATTCTTGCAGGGTGAGCTTGCACAAGCATTAAGCACTGAACGAACAATGAAAGCCAGGCATGTGGTTCAGAGAGACAACAGCTCAGTTTAAGGCCACTGCGGACTTCTCCCAATGGGTTCAGAAACAGCAGGGACATTATTGCGCATAAGTATATGGGTAGTGGTGTATAGCTGTGTGAAAGTTCATGTCAAACGGAATTAATGCGTAGCGTGATGCTTTCAGCCGGATTAAAAATGCGATCAGTTCAGCTAGTGACTCTGAGATCCGCTGGGGTGACCTGACAAGTTTGAAACAGCGGCTATCCGGGGATTGAGCAACACACAAACACATGGCCCCCTTATGGTCAGGCTGCCCGTTTTGGAGCCAGCCATTGCCTGATGATCATAGTAATACGTGAAACTCAGAGCTGCAACACAGCTTCCTATCTCTCTCTTGTGTATTATGCATGGCTATACGAATGCACATAATATCATTTCTGGGCTCACATTCCAAAGACATATCGGAAGAAAAGATCTAAACTTCCGAAAAAATGTGCTTTCATGGACGTCCGAATGTATTCCATAATTGGGTGCAGCTATGAAAGGGGCAGGAAGGTGGGGGGGGGGGGGGGGGTCCTGAAGCTCTCCCCCCGGAAACATGTTTGGAAATGGGACCCAAACAGCCAAAAATTGTAATATACTGGCTATTTGGGTCCCATTTCCATATTATTATCATGAATTACAACATCTCAGGATTTAAAGTTGATGCGGTTGCCGCACCAGTTCTGACGCTCCTGGCTTACCTGTCTCACAGAATCGACCGGTGGTGGCAACTGGACAGTCACACATGTACTCATCCACTGACAGCACGTCTTGATGCACACACTGGCCACCATTGCTACATGCTGGCCTGGACTTGCAGCGGTCAGTCTTACGGGCTGTGTAAGCAACACACGCACACATACACGCACACAAACGCACACACAGGGGAGAAAACCGGATTTGTGTCAGTATGAATTTTCACCGCTTCTGTATGATCCAGATTCCTGAAAAAACTGAGAAGGAAATGAAAAATCAATGCCTGCATACAGTGATGCACTCCCATGAATATGCATATCCTTACACGTCTATCCTCCCTGATACCCCTCAAATCTAGATCACTTCCAGTTAGCCCTTGGCGGATTATTCCGGCAGAATATTTGGCAGAATTTGGTCCCTTTTCTGATATGTTTCAAGCGTGTGGATAAGGAAATGGAGCAGAATTCGAGGAAGTGGCTGCCATAATGTTCGTATGGTTCTGCTAATTTCACAGCTTCTCGAGCAGAATCTGCCAATTTCTCTACCATTACCCACCAAGAGCTATTTGCAGTCTGTAAACTTACTGATGCAATCTACAAAATTCTCCGCATTGGACATGTTGCCGAGGAAATACGTCAGCGGCAGTAGGTCCTGCGACCGCGCGTTGCGCTCGTCAATCGGCGGACGGATCTTGAGAAAGACCTGTGCTAGACGCTGTGCCTCGCCATGGTGCGTGCTGGGCGAGAAGCGTCTCAGCCAACGGGTCATGCATGAGCCTGGTGAATAGACAGCAGACACATCAATGATCATGCATATCAACAACGGGTCATGCATGAACCTGGTGAATAGACAGCAGACACATGCATATCAGCAACGGGTCATGCATGAACCTGGGTAATAGGCACCTGAATATCACACACAAATGCATGTCAAGCACAAATGGGCAGCGGAGCAGACATATGCACATCACAAACAATGGTTGAAACATGTTACTTGTTAGGAGATCATCCAGGCTGTGATCCTGCACAGCAGTCAGCAGTCTCTCTCTCTAAAAACAGGCCCAACTTCTGCAAGCGAAGTCCTCCTGGATTAGGAAGGGCGCTGGATGAGGAAATCTGATGTTGAAGTGTACTGGAATGGGATTATTGGGTGTTGAAACTTGAAATAGGCGATGGTTTGGGTTACTAAGAGCCACCTACACACGACCAGTGTTATTTTCATTGGTTACAAGTTACTTACAACAGCGACATGTTCGCTGGGTTAATGCTGTACACGTCAGTTAGCAAGCAAGCATGCCCATACTTCCAATCCAAGTGCTGTACACACCGTTATCCCGTGATCATGGCCGACAGGGGCGTACCCAAGAGCAGCAGACAGCAGGGTGGTTTTCCACACACCCTTATTTTGCACACAAGACGCGTTTATGTTCTTCGCAACTGCTCACAACAGCTAGTGTTCTATGATCTTACTACCTTTGAAGTACCCAAAAAGGTTTGGCACAAGCGGCAGGGTGATTTTCTCCGCACCTGGCCACTTGGTGTTACGTGGATACGCCACTGACTGGTCTGTGCCTATTATCGACACCTTCATATCAATTTAAAGTTTCCCCGGGATTCAAAGCTGGCATACATAAGTGATGAATATGTATCACCTGAGAGATTCACCTCCTGAAAGCCCTTAGCACTTCTAAACAAGGCCTTACTATGCAAGTCTTTTGTTTTCCAGGCCGAAGTTCTGCGAATCGGTTGTCTTATTTGCCTGCATGGTATACGTGCGCTTACAATTGGTTTCTGTTGGAATTATCCACTTTACTCGAGATAATGCTGATAATTACACTGGACTTCCAGGGGCCCACGGTAAGTAAGTTTCAAACCCTGGCACAGCTATCCAACAGACTACACCAGTACACGTAGATCTACGAGTACGTGCTCGCACTTACATGATGACTATTCTTTACTGATAGCTGTGCGCTCAACAGCTTCAACGCGATTGCTCTTGCCGTGAAGGCACAGTCACAGATTTCAGCCTATTCGACATTGCTTGTACTCCGTACCTACCTTGACCAGCCCTCGCTTGTGAGGAAGCATCGGCTACGAATCGTCCTGCCAAGGCCGCTAACAACCAACAACTGACCAAGCGAGTTGCAGGCGACATTTTCGACTGTCTTGTTTCCACTGTGGAAAGCGGTGGACAGTAGGGATGCTAGATTTCCGAACACCCGCAACGGCGGAACTAACTTGGGGGACAAGTCCTGACTCAGATGACGAACCGACAGCTGACTCGGTGCAAGATGTCGTGGTCCTTCGGAGCCTCAAACTTTTGCCCTCACACACAAACTGCTCTGCGAACTCGAAGGCACACAAACAGTGGCGAAACCAGACCGAAAATGTCTGCTTCCTCGCCCGCCACAAGATCAATCAGTTCGTGCTAAGTCCAAAAAAAGCGCTCTGCTATCAACGTGTCTCTGAGAACGCACGGCTACCTTGACCTCAAACTATAACAGTCTTCGCTTTTGTCTCACGGGTCGAGACCGGAGTCTGAATCAGTGAATGCGCAGAGGGGCTGGGCTAACTTCAGTAACAACATCAGCTCCTACGATGAATAGAAGCAACAGTAGTGCCGAAAGCCAAGACTATTAAAGTGGAAGAATCTACACTACACTACAGTGACAGAACTGGTTTGCCGCTTCGCAACTCCGTGAGAATGAAGTCAGAGCATGCACGCGTACGTTCTCCCCAGCCACGCAGCGCAGCCAGGCAGGAGCTAGCTAGCTGTGTGATGTTGCACCTTTAGTTTAGCTTTGCTAGGGAATCAATACAACTCAACGACAACGGACTCACCCAGTACAGCAACAAGGCCAAGCCAAAGGATAAAGAATCCGAGGAGTGTGTAGTAGATCTATGTCTACACAGTCATGTACCTACCGATGCATGTAGATCTCCGTGACAGTCATGCAGATAAACCTTGTTCTTGTTCAAACACGGTGTCCTCCACCTGGTCCTTGTTACATGCTGTCAACCAACACAACATGCATGACTTGTACAGTCAAGACCATGGAGAGTCTACACGGCCTACCTGTGCAGAAAAGTGTGGAAAAGATACATCCCTTAGCCCTGTGTGACAGTGTGTCTTGTTTTGTGTTTGTCTCCACATGTCTCTTTAAAGCTTTGTACTAAAAGTAGGGCCTAGGGCTGTGTCCCCCCCCCCCAAAAGGTGTCATGTTTCTACTACAGGCAGGTGCATTCAGGGTGTCTCATCACGTCTTTCGTTGCTACAAAGGTACTAGGCTAGGTACTAGTACTTCCTTCTGTGAGGCCTCGACGTCTGTAATCTCATCATGCCATTGGCATTGCCTTCTTTGCTTGCGCTTTTCGAATTCTTCATTCCGACACCCAGTTTATTTTCAAATGCCTTCTCACTAGACCAGGTCTAGTTCTCACAAATGATGAAGAATGTGAATGAACATCCTACAAAAACAAGAAATAGAAAAAGATGAGAAAAACTTGTGTTTTATATTTTACGACGGTATTTTGTATGTGAGTGACAGTGATTTACATGAAAAGGGAAAGAAAAGAAAAAAGATAGAAAGAAAAGAGTAAGGAATAAACGAAGCAGATGTATGAAATAGAAAATTAATAGAGAAGTTGTATTTGAGGAGAAAAGTCAGTTTGTCGATTAGACACCAAGTCAAAAGATCAAAATGCACATGTCTGACGAATGAGTCAAGACAGAGAAAGCGTGTTATGTCAAGAACATCTGGGCACAGCAGGGCTTTGAAACCCAGAATTCATGGCAACGAATATTTGCCGGAAGCCTCGCTGACGCCGAGACCTCTGGTCGGTTGAGTTGCCCCAGCACATCAGCACGTCGTCCCTACATCCCCTATGTTTTGTCCTTTTCCTCGTTTCTTTTTGTTCTCCACCTGTATTCCAGTAGGGCTGTGTCAATAGTAAAAAAAAAAAAAAAGCCTGTTCCAATACACGCTGCCCACGTATTGCATGGACGCTCGAGATGCTGGTCCACGAACGAATGGAATTTGGAGAAAACGTGAGACGGCGTGTGCTTTGCTCAAGACCAGGTTCAGCGATCAACAGAAAGAAAGGCGAGAATAGCATGCTTGCATTGGAGGCAAGGCATCTATGGACAAAAACAACAATCTTGAGCTTAAAATGATGGATTAGTGGGGAAATATTTAATCTAGAAATAAGAGGTGCGGTCGGTGTTTGACGAGGGAGCTGAAACACAGCTCTGACTCCAGCCTTGCTGATCTTCCCCAAACGGTCGAGAAGCTGAGCTGTGAGGCTTGGGTAGAATGCTGCTGAAGCATAACACAGCTGGCTGTTTATCATACTGATGTACCACGACCGTCGAGCTCTCAGCGTTAGTTAACGCCCGTGTCTCCACAATTGCCCTATGGTTTGTGCTGTTCTACGTGACACATAGTCGACATGTGGCCTCCATGACAGTTGGTCGTCAACGATCACACCAAGGTACTTTGCGGTGGCCGTCACCTCCAGTTGCTCGTTGTTGCAGAAAACATCGGGTGTGGCAATGGCTGCGCCGCGAGTCTGAACGAACATGACCTGAGTCTTGCTGGCATTCATTACGAGGCCGATGTCTTCAAGCCATCGGGAGATATCAGTTACTGCTCTCGTCAGAGTTCTGCCAACAAAATCTACAGAACAGAACAACAAGGACAATCAAGGCTTGTTTGCTGCTACTTCAAGTTTCATGCTCTCGCAATCATCAAGCAAGATTCATCAGGTCGTACTTGCGACGGCGTAAGTTTCGATTTGCCTTCGACACGCCAAAGCAAGATCTGAACGCATTCGCCAAACTAGAATCACTGCAGTACCGTAGACAATTCATTAGCCTAGTTACATTGCACAAGTATATTTTCAAATACCGGAACACCTTGGCTCAGTTCAGTTTTAATATTTCCCGTGGTGAGAGAGGCCCCAACAAAATTATCCTCCCCAAAGCCTTGACAACATCCAAATCACTTTTTTTTATTCAAAACCTCCCTTTTATGGAATTGTCTCCCACCCACATTGACTTCGGAATCTTCTGTCCATGTATTCAAGAGAGAGCTGCGCAAACATTCTTGTCAGTATTCAGGTCTACTTGCTGGCATGCCGTTACCCTGTTCATCGTAGCCCCCCCCCGCCCCCCCCCCCGGCCTTCCCAATCTGTACTCTCTTGTACCATTATCCTTCAATGCGACGGACCCCACGATAGGCGGTCAGCCTTTGGGTCATCCTAATAAAGTTATTATTATTATTATTATTATTATTATTATTTAATAAGGATGGCGTAACTCCTCTGTAGCCTTGTCATGATTTCTAATTTTCTTTCACCGCCCACGGCCGCACAAAGTCCTTGGCTACAAAAAAAAAAAAAATTAAAGTCTCTCCAAATCTCTCAAAACCAAACTTCAAACTCCTTTCCAAATTTTCGCCCAAGAGGGCATCTTCAGGGATATGTGACTCCTGTGAACAAAACAACAATATAACTACAGAAGAAAAAAAAAGAAAAGAAAAAAGGTAATAACAATAACGTGGCAATATACCAGGAACATCATAACTAGTGCTAAGAATTGAGACTAACATTGAAGATAATGTCACATATTCAGAAACAAAAACAGAACCTACCCACAATATCTTACCTTACCAATACCTTTTTTCTTTTCTTTTTTTTTCTTCTGTAGTTATATTGTTGTTTTGTTCACAGGAGTCACATATCCCTGAAGATGCCCTCTTGGGCGAAAATTTGGAAAGGAGTTTGAAGTTTGGTTTTGAGAGATTTGGAGAGACTTTAATTTTTTTTTTGTAGCCAAGGACTTTGTGCGGCCGTGGGCGGTGAAAGAAAATTAGAAATTATTATTATTATTATTATTATTATCAGGCAACATGAAGATTGCCATGTACATGTATATGCAATTATGCATGCTGGTGCACTACATTGTAGTTCGTCAGGTGTGTTATTCCAACTGAAAGAACCTTCTGGCGTATCCTTTCCACTCATTGGTTACCGCACCTGAGCCTTCCAGGTTGGAAGGTTGTTGGTTTGCGCTCCGTAGGTGTGCTAGAACTACTGTGGGTGTCAGGTCGTCGTATGTCTCAATATCTTTGTCAGTTGTGTGCCTTGTTGTCTCACTATCTGACTGTATTATTATCTCGTTACCTTGGTTACCTTGGTGGACTGTTAGTCACAACTAACAGCTAGTAACTTTTAGAACGAGGTCTGTCTCGTTGTCCAGGAAACGGCCAATCAGCGACATTCCCGCCAGAGTTTAAAGCCCGCTCAATCGTAATTTTACCACTCTTGCGTCTTGATGACACGTCGAGGGCCTTGGATTTTTTTTAAAAAACAGCCTCTTTTATGGGCAAAAGCAACACAATAAAAAATAAAAAGCAACACAATGATGGGCTTTGGATGGAGGCCCTTTGATTAGTTTAAGGCCCGCTGAATATACATGTACTCTAAACTGTTGCGTACAACTCCCTCCCTGTATGCATTATAGTACGGTGGAGATAATGAACTCTGCATAAAATGCACGGTGTACTACTAATTTATTTTCGACAGTGAGTAATTTTATTGAAACAAAGAAAAATGATGGCACCTATGTACAAGGGATGGCCCACGCCTGGTATAAAGTAAACGTAAAAGAGAAGAAAGAAAAAAGCTACGCATGTCAGAAGTGTGTACGGTTTTTTCCTCCAGTATTCTTTCATCTGTACGATTTTCCTTTGTCAACAGCTGGCGGAAACCTATAAAAACCGAAGATCAAAGTCATTAGAGGTATCGACAAGGGGCTCTCAAAGCCCCTAAATAGCTCCACTAGCTATGATTGAATAAGAATGAAGCTCGCAATAAGAGCCCAGCATTTCATTTGCTTCTATTCTGCTTTTAGTAGTCCTAAGTGATGCTGAGTTACCATAACTTACCAGAAGAAATATTCTTTCATACCACACCAAGTCTCTCTCCACACAAACCACAAAACTACCCAACATGGGGAAATATTGGTACACAAGCATAATGGAAGTGAGATAATGCATGTAACCTCGTTCTAAAATAGTTAGTGCATGGCAGGGAGGGTCGTATGGCTTGTTTGTGCCCTTCAGGGTAGCCATCGGGCCTACGGCCCTCAGGCTCACTTGTCGGGCACTAACAAGCCATAAGGCCCTCCCTGCCATGCACTAACCTAAAAATACACTTAGGTCCTTTTCTTTTTACATACATGTATCACTATTGGCTCAATATTCGAGTTTTTGATAGAATCTTCTTTGCAATACAAAAGCACTTGCCCTATAATCGTATTGCAAAGACGTCTCTATAGACTCTATCAAATATACATGTACATGTATAATTATACATGTACGCAAGAGTTGTCTGATGATTGGTTTTTGCCATGAAACTCTGAGTTACAACAAAAACAGCCCTATATACTTCCTTTTGTGTACCTCTTGCGTACTACGCTCTGCCCATTCCGGGCATTTGAGCACTATTGCAGGTTAAGGCGCACACCCTCTGTGTAATTATACATGTATGAATAAAACCAATTGTGCACTCATAACCATTGTATAAAACAATTAACTCGGATGGTGAGCCAATTAAATAATTGTGAAAAGAAGAAGGACAAAATGTTACGAGTTATGACTAACTGTCCACCAACGTAACCAGATCTTATACAGTCAGCGAGTGCGACAAAATGGCACAAAACTGACAAGGAGTACTGAGACATTCGGCGACCCGACACCTAGCTCCAACACTTTTCCAAGGCGCAAACCAACAACCTTCCAACTTGGAAGGCTCAGGTTCGGAAAGGTCCAAGAGGGGAAGGAAAGCGCAACGAAGAAGAGCACGAGCTACGCATCACGGCAACAAAGAATGCCGAAAGTTACTGGATGATGACGAAACTAGTAAGACTATTGGACATACCGGCCTTACTACAACTCGACGACGCAAAGCAACAGACCACCCAACTTGGGAGGCTCAAGTTTATGTAACAAACATAGAAAGGGGAAGCTAAGCGAAGACGAATTGTGACAAACCGAAACGTCAACATCCTACTGAACTCCACACCATGTATGATGGACTAGTTATGTACAATAACAAGTAGTTCCACACGACGTACGTTTCGCCGTATAGGTCATGACGGCCCATCAGGTGTGCAAAATGTAACTCGGATGGTGAGCCAATTAAATAATTGTGAAAAGAAGAAGGACAAAATGTTACGAGTAAAAAAGAAGAAGGACAGAGTTATGAGTCATAACTCGTAACATTTTGTCCGTCTTCTTTTCACAATAAAACAATTATTAGAATGAAAAATTCCAAAATGAAAAACTCCAGAACGTTTTCGCGTGACTATCATCAGTGGAATATCGTCACATACGTGTAGAATCACTAAAACAACCAGTTACATACATGTACATGTACATGTAGCTAGAATAATAATTATGATAAGGAGCGTGAGAATGCAGCAGCTCGTGGTTATGCATAACGCGGGTAGTGTGAACTTACATGTACTACTACTGTACATGCTTCCAGTGGATCTGAGCCAGAATGGTAAAAAAAAGAAAATGTTGTAGCACTCACATTCTTTAAAAAAATAATATGCACTCACCATTTTTGTCCACACGCACCCACAGCTGCAACACTCATCTACTGCTAGCATTCTCAGATCCACTGCATATTTTTAAGTTCAGTTCGAATAACACACATGCATGACGACATACTGGTAAATATACACGTAAAACAAAGCATAGCATCAGGGGCACTTCAATGGTCAAGAAAGTTGCGAAATTTGCGATTTCTTCCAAAACAGCAAAACGTAGCGAAAAAAGTTGCGCGCATCTTTGGGAAAGGGCTACAAGTCGCAGCATCATCATCATGAAACAACAAGATGCAGGCCCTTTGGATTGATTTGCAGGATTAGAAAGGTTAAGCCTGCTTTGGAACTCCACTTTAGATGAAGGCAACAACAACAACAACAACCGCCATAGAAATGAAATTGTTGAAATCAGTGCTGCACATCACAAGCATACTAGTAGTGCTACATGTACATGACATTGTACAAGTCATGGTATTATAACCCAATTATAACCCAATACTAGTTCAAACCTAGTACACTGAAGTAATTATAAATGGTCCGAAGGGACCGTGCTCTGCCAACCGTGGAAGGTTGTAGTAAGGTCACTGTTTCCGAACACAGTGTCCTCCACCTTGTTTCATGCTGTCAATCTAACAAAATGTACAAGTCATGTACATTTTGTAGATTCTACACCAAACGGTCAACACGACGCGTAGCGCGAGCTGTGGAGTCGAGTGTACATCACCGTGCATGTGGTCTTTGTGTGATGTCGCCAATCCTGTCATGTGTAGCAATGAACAACAGTCAACAGACGACAGTAGCCATCTGCACCCGTGTTGCAGAACAAACCTTCAAAAGCGTGATGCACTTATTATAATGCAGACACTGTGTAACACGACCTCACTGGTCCTCAGACACAATCATACAATTACAAATTACAACCATGTAGTGAGTCTGTACTGTAGTGATCGGGCTGTCTGCAGTCGACGCGAAGACAGAACAAGGATAGGAGATGACTGTCATTACCATGATTACAGGTCGCTGCGCCGTCAGACGTCAAGTCCTAGAGCCGTGGAGGACTGTGGATATGGATACGAGAAGGCAGTTTCAGATTTACTACAAGTAGCCTCCACTCATTCGGAGAGGGGCTCAAACGTGAATTCTGTGAAAGAAGCTGTTAGCGTAAAGCGAGGCGACGGACGTAACGTGAGGTTCGATATACTGTACTGTAACGACAATAGTCGTCTTCTCCCATTACGTGTGACTAATATACCGGCGAGAAGATGTTGCGAGCTACTCTCTCCATTGCCCTAGTCGTGGCTTTAGCGTGTGTATGGGGCTTGCCAGTCGTGCATGGATCTCAAGAAGGAGCAGGCCAAGGTAGGAACTACGCACTAAACACTTTTTTCTAGTTTAGGCTCAAGCATCCTGTAGACCTACTACCCTACTACATCATAGTAGTACATGTACTACTACTACGTCCCTACCCTAGTCCCTAGCGTGGTCCGCCGTCTTGGTAGTAGTAGTACTGTGCCTTGAAGGGTTAGTATCACATTGTTCCTGTACTGGAAGGTGCGGAGTTCAGAATCGGTCTCGAAGTCTGTACTGGACCATGTCATGTCCAGTCCTAGTACATGACTGTATACTTCAGTACTCCCATTAGGCATTACTGTTTTTTCTCTGTGCTCCTGTTGTTTGAACCAGCTCTACCACTCGGTATTGAGCACTCTTATGGACAGCCTGGAACCTCTCTGTTTTATATGTATATAATACAACCCAGCAGTACGCTTGTACGTGAAATATAAACCGACATACAAACCTCGGCTTCGCCTCGGTTTGTATGTCGGTTTATATTTCACGTACAAGCGTACTAGTGGGATGTATTATACTTATGCTGACCTTCATACAAACTGACAGTCAACTTCTTCCTGTTTCTATGGTGGCGGTTTATATGGGGTTGGTATGAGGTTTATATGCCCAGTATAAGCCGCCAACATGATGGGCAAGTTGACTGGAAGTTTGTATGAAAGGTCAGCATAAACTTCAGTACACTGTAGAATGTACACTGTACAGTCATGTACAGAGTCGAAGGTTAATTTTTACAAGCATGTGTGCACTCAAGTTAGAATCTGAAAATGAAAATACGATCTCGGACTGCTAGTGGCAATCTTCACGAGTCTCGACTGTATTACCATTTCTGCAATCGCTTTGTTGAGGGGCACCCGAAGTAATGTACCAATTGTTTTTTTTTCTTTTTCTTTTTTACTTTGGAAACTGCGATGGCATGAGGCCGAGGGCACTAATGCACTGCCAAGAAAACAGAAAAAAAGATTATGAAAAGTACAGAACCGGGTTATTATCTGTTGAGTGTTGGGGTGTTAGTACTTTTAAAACAAATTTATATAGGTACTGCTGTGGAATTGAGCTTTTTAAAAGCTTCCCATTTCTTTGGCAGCCGCATGAGATTTCTGTGCATGGGGCAAGTATGGCTACACTGACTGTACATGCGGCTAAGGTATTGCATGAAGCTAGGCACTGGTAAAGTGTTGTGATCTCTGTGAGTGGCACTGGCATAGGAAGGGAGACCAGGCGCCCCAGGTGAAATGGAAATCATCTGGTCTGCCTCTAACAGAAACAACATTCACTTTAGGGAAGTGGCCCACTCAAATCAATAGTCTCGCCTGATGGGAGTGAAAATGGTTCATTACCATAATATAAAATGTACATGGACATGTACATATACATGCAATGTGTGATACCGTAAAAGCCCGTATTAACGCCCACCCAGTATAACGCCCACTGCCTGTGTACATGCCCAGTTGCCCAGTGTCAACACTCGTGTCCCATTTTCTAGCCCACCTCCGTGTAAACACCCATGGGCGAAAGCACAGGTCTATTACACAGTGCAGTGCATGCACAGCTCTATGTGTATGTATGGTACTGTAGTCACGATGATAGCTTAGTGTACAGCGCGCTGTGCTGACCTGATATTTACGCCATGCAGTAGTACGGCATGATGTGAAAATCATTCTGATTACATTTATCCGAAATAACGCCCGGGTCCATATTAGCGCCCGGGTCCATATTAGCGCCCGGGTCCATATTAGCGCCCGGGTCCATATTAGCGCCCGGGTCCATATTAGCGCCCGGGCCCAAATTGACACCCATGTGCTGGACCTTCACTAACGTTTCCGCCCAGGGCCTTCTTACGGGCTTTGACGGTAGGTACGAGTCGTATTGCAGCACTGTACATGTGCAAAACATAACCATAGATTGCAACACTACGTTACAATACTGTACATTACCAGGCCGGTCGGAACCGGGCGGGTCCGGCTGATCATGTCCTCACCCGACCAACTCCAACAAAATTAATGCTTCCTACTAGTAAGGGCATGTGTATCTGCCAAATCATCCTACACAATCAAAAACTGAATGAAAGACTTTGGTACGGTATAGCCGGAAAACTAAAAAAAATGCCTACGGCAGTCCTGGCTGCAACTCATGATAATTATTTCGACACTGCGCATTTCCCATACCCAGAGCACTATAGTAGTGACATCTGGTCAGGAAAGGTCTCTGCAAAGTGCCATGAACCAACTACACTGGGAGGAATCTGGCCAATGGTTGGTGGATCTGATCTATCCTCCCCCGGCCGTTTATCAGCTACACCTGATGCCTGATCATGGTGTGGTGGCGTTCCACGGAAGCGGAAAGGTGGTTCTTGACCCGCCCTGTACATGGATCCGTAGTAATTACTTCGAAGTACATGTATCTCATTTCCATAATGTGTGAATTGATGCATGCTTACATTACCATGCCCAGAACGTTTCAGCCGCCGACCCTCTTGAATTCCAAACTAGCTATGAGTATGTGTGTGCATGATGTACATATGTGTGTTCCTGATAATATCAGGTTGTGTGTGTTGTGTGTGTGTGTGTGTGTGTGTGTGTGTTGGGTGTGTTGTGTGTGTGTGTGTTGTGAGTGTGTGTGTATGTGTGTGTGTGTGTGTGTGTGTGTGTGTGTGTGTGTGTGCGTGTGTGTGTGTGCGCACATGTGTACATGTGTGTGTATGTGTGTGTGTATGTGTGTGTGCATGTGTGTGTGTGCGTGTGTGTGTGTGCACATGTGTACATGTGTGTGTGTGCACATGTGTACATGTGTGTGTATGTGTGTGTGTATGTGTGTGTGCGTGTGTGTGTATGTGTGTGTGTATATGTGTGTGTGTATGTGTATGTGTGTGTATGTGTTTATGTGTGTGTGTATGTGTGTGTATGTGTGTAGTGCAGTGTGTGTAGTGCAGTGGTATGTGCAGCGATTTCCAATCGATAGGTTGCGGGTTCGATTCCCGACGATTATGGTCACACACGTCTTTCTTCTCTTTCTCAGACTCCTCCTGACTTTTCTTTCATTCTCCTGGGTGGTGACCAACAGCCAGTGCATGCCGGAGTATGTGGTGTGATGTGTGCGTGGAAAAATGACCAAAAAGACCAAAAAGTAGGGATTCACTGGCCAGAAAAGCCACTTAATAGCTGTGTGGTGTAGACCAGGCTGAATAGTGGTGGTCAATTCTTCAGCCTTGCAAGCTGTTGAATGGTGCAATCCCAGCACAAGCTGCTATGGCTTCTGCTGTAGCATCGCGATCATCGCCTCTGGCGATGGGCGTCCAATGGTCCAATGGTATGTGTGCGTGTGTGTGTGTGTATGTGTGTGTGTATGTGTGTGTGTTTGTGTGTATGTGTATGTGTGTGTGTGTGTGTGTGTGTGTGTGTGTGTGTGTGTGTGTGTGTGTGTGTGTGTGTGTGTGTGTGTGTGTGTGTGTGTGTACACTTACCCAGGGTCATGCATGGTGCGGTGGCTACAACACTACTCACCCAGGACAGGACTCGCTGACGCACAGCGAAAGGCACGGGTCTTCCTCAGGATACCGCCACCGATTGATGAGCGCAACGCCAAAAGCCAAGACCTTCTGCCACTCTCCTTCGTCCTGGGCAACATGTCCAATGCCGTCGGGTTTGTCGACTGTCTTAGTGAGTGCAATGTACAAGAGAACCTCTCTTTGGGCTCACCTGCATTATATGCCCACCTGCTTTAGAAGACCACCTGCTTTAAAAGACCACCTGCTTTAACAGACCACCAGCTTTACAGATCAGCTGTTTTCTGTTCTTTCAAGTTGTACCTTGTACTTTTTTAAAGGCATTGAACTAAAATATAATCCAAAACAAAAAGATCACCTGCCCTTAATTAGAGACCACCTGCCTTTAGAGGGTAGTAACTTCAAACACCGCACCAGACAGCATGCATGTACATTATACACCTGGGCCCATCTGTCTACAAGGACCATAACCTGCTCCCTGAGAACATCATAGGGTTGTAAACATTCACGGCATCAGCATACGGGCCAGGTTTCCTCTGTCTGTACCGTTCTTGTTCCATCATGTACACAGTACGCTGTATTCTTCTCCTCCCTCTTCAAAACGGGTTTATTCAAACAACACGACACGGAAAGAAGGAAGAAAACCAAAGATTCTAGGGTTGAAATCCCTCTTAGACTGGTCAGTGCGATATTGCAAAAAAAGGATTTTAAATCTTTTTATCATTACGTTGCAGTGCACATACATGTACATGTCCAATGTAGCTATATCTGTTTTCAAAGGTATGGTTACATGGATCACATGCAGGGGTGGATCCAGGATTTTTCCAAGGGGGGGGGGGGTCAATTTTTCCCACCCTACCCACAATGACGAAATGATGACATACAAAAGCATGTATAACAAGTTCACATATTCGCGTTATCGGGACAGCCCACATGTATTGCATCCTGTACTTGAACATGCCAGCTGCTATACAAATGAAAATTCAGTACCCTTTTTTCAACACTCTGCAGCTAAAACATTATTGAGGACACGCAGAACAAGGAAGAAATTTTCAATGTCTTTGCTGCAGAATAGCCGATTGGTACTTTCTCTAGCAGCTCGTCTGCAATAATTGTCCTTATCACTCTCTTAGTATTGACTCACATAGATTTTTGCCATACCTAAGCAGTCAAATATTCCTGCATATTTCACTCCTTAGGGCTATATTGACTGCTTATATTTGACTGCTTAGGGGTTGCGCAGTTCAACGGCGCCTAGTGCAGCATTGTCACTGCATGAGTAGGTGGTGACTGGTGGTGCAACGGTTGTGCAATCATAAAACCGGGATTCATGAGGTTATCGTTGTGGAATTTGAAATACGGACTGTTTGTCGTGATAAATCTAATATTGAATTCGTACTTGGTCAGTATAGGAAATAAAAACCTTGTAAAAGACCTCGGCTTCGCCTCGGTCTTTTGCTCGGCTTTTATTTCCTATTGACCTCGTACTCAGTCAATATTACAAGTAGATACGTAATATTGTACTCCGATCCGCCCGATGTTGACTCCACTGTACAGTGGGTTCCACAAGGCAGGCTTCCTGCATCTTTCGTGTCTCAGTCATAATTGTCCCCAGTTAGGAGAAATTTTGATTATTGGATGATGGGACGTTGAACTTGAAGGTGATTTTCAAAGTCTCGCTCTTTGTTTTACCTTCGACACTAGTGGCTACACTTCTCTTTGGAGTGTCACCAAAATTCAAGGGCAGCTGGTCTTGAGCCTGCCTCTTTTAGACGCTTCAACGAACTTTACAGCACTGCGCGGTCAGTATTTGAAACTTACTTTTGAAGTTTCTGCAGCAGCTCAACAAATGCTTGCGCACCTCTTTCTCCGAAACGAACGCGTAGCTAGCTGTACATTCAGTGCAGATCTACCTCTTTACTTTGTATTATCTAAGACTTACAAGACAACAATTGTGTACAACGTCATGTAGATCTACCAGCTAGCGGACTGCTCTGGCCTGGGTCGACTGGGCCATAGCATGGGGCGCGCACGTTGCATGGGCATGGGTTAGTGGTCACACCCAAACTATGGTCGGAAAAATCAAGGGGGTTCGTTCGAACCCCCCGAACCCCCCCCCCCCCTGGATCCGTCCCTCACATGGTACATGTGCTGGATGGTAATGGTGTCCGGAGTACAATGCTTGGCTCAAACACAGCAATCATCATGAATCCTGTAGGCCATTGTACAGACTGTTGCCCACATCTCCAAGATTCAGCAACAGCAAGAAAACTTTGAGTGAGGCCATGGTATCGAGAGCGCACAGATTATGTGATACCGTGCTCGCACGATCAGTGACCCTGGGGCACTCTTCTTTTCAATGTCCAACACAGACGGTGGCACTATTCAAGAGAGGGCACTATTCAAGAGAGGGCACTATTCAAGAGAGGGCACTATTTGTTCAATGCTGGTACATGAACATTTGCGTCATCCAGCATATAAACAAAGAAGGCAAAGAAAAACAGAGTCTGAGGTTTACCGTAAACTATCACGACTCAACAGAAAGGGCAACAAGAACTGCGATTTTGATCCTGAAACCACCAGTGCAATAACATGGACAATAACATTAGCAAAAAAAACACCACTTTCACATACTCTTGGTTACAGGTCCAGGGGGGCACTATTCAAGAGAGGGCTTTATTTTTTCACTGGCACTTAGAGACTGGGGCACTGTTCAAGAGAGGTTTCTGATCGTGCGAGTACGAAATGTCAGTGGATGAATGATGCTCCTATAGTTCCTCGTGTCTGGATCGACCTGAGCGGGGTTTTTCATTTGTTCTTCTTTTGGTGTTTGTGCATGTGGACATGCGTACTGAAACATGCGCGCATATGATTGTGCAAGTCCACTTGTGTGTGTGTGTGTGTGTGTGTGTGTTTGTGTATGTGTGTGCATGTGTGTGTGTGCATGTGCGTGCATGTGTGTGTGTGGGGCTGGGGGTCAACGTACAGCGCGACAGACTCCTCGCTGTCAAGGATCGCCAGCATGCCATAATGGCGGACGATGTGTACACCGTCTGGTTGTCAGTGTAAAGCGATATATGTGTGATTGTCCAGCATCCACCACCGGGCTATACTGCGAGGAGAGTAAGTACAGTACACTGCCCTTTATGCTGGTACACTTAACAGCCCATCGCAGCCGCTTTCCAGATTGTTCCAGGTGACACAAATCTCTTATAACCTTCCTTTGAGATGAAACTACTTTGAAACCATCCTGGTGCAAAAGGCAGGGGCAATAGCTGCTTGTTTCAAACGCTTATGCTTTGAACAGCGGTTTCCCCCAATGCCAGTCATTCATACTAATGTCCTTTCCTCTGTGTGTGTGTGTGTGTGT